TTTGTTTGGGCACAAATGAAACTGCTGCCTATAGGTAAATGTTACAGTTACTGTGCAACTAAGGACATCTTTAGAGAGGAAGGATTACGGGTATTTAACCTTCATTTGTAGACTGGTAATAATGTTTTCTGTTAGCACTACACATAAGTCTGTAATGCTAGGTTTAGGTTGGTTAATTTTCCATCTCCAATTGCTAAAGGATGATATTCATGATATTAATTTTAGATTAAACTGAACCCAATAACCAGCTTTTGAGTTACATCTGCATAGGTGTAGAACAATAGGGCTTGTGCTGTACTTTTGATAAAACTACAATTTTGTATCTTATATTTTTGACAACAAATATAAGAATTAGCGACGTTTTTAGTACTTATAGCGGCGTTTGGTACTAAACGTCACAAAAAGAATTAGCGACGTTTTTAGTACTTATAGCGGCGTTTTTTAAACGCCGCTAAAAGTGAATTTTCCTGCAGTGTTACTCAAAAATTACCACCCCTCACTCAGATATCAACTTGGTGGCAAAGCATAAATTCGTGTGAAGTAGGTATTAATGATGTAGAGCCCAAACCATCTTAACCTACTATTCCTAGCATCATGTGCTCAACTGCACACATGCATGCATGTTCTACCTTATCAATTTTTTTGGAAAATTTTAAGAAAAAATATTAGAAATCTCAAAAATACTACTAAATTTTTTATTAAATATCTCAAATAGGTTTGGGATCCACAACTTACACCTATGTCAAATATTTAACAAAGATTTTGATAAAACTTTTGATATTTCTAATATTACTCAATTTTAAGTGTATGTGAGTTTGACGAGTATTTTTTTTTTTTATTGACAAAAATCAGTTGTTAATTATTAGATTAGTACCTAGGTGAGTTAGCCTCCTCACTCTTACAAAATATCTAGTGATTATCTCTTAATTCAATTCTTTTTATTAAGAAGGATTAAATTCATAACCTCTCCCTTAGCCTAAGCTTAATTTGTTGAGCGTGACGTTTATCTAACATTCTACCGTCTATACTTTCTAATTTTTGGCTGGGTCATAAGGGGTGGAGCATTAAGATGCTACAAGAAAATCATAAACAAAAAATATACCATGGTCAACAATTATATGTACTTGTGAAATATATCATAAAAATTATTTGGAGGATTTATATGGAGATTTTAATATGTGGGTTTATTATCTAATAGATTATGTAATAATTAAATGTATATTTCATTAAACATTATTAAAAAATGTCACTAATTATTAATTTTTAAGGGCAGTTGAAAAACTTGTTACAAAAAATGTCACTAATTATAAGTTTTACCAACAATTTAAAAAATTTGTCACAAAAAAATGTCACAATTTATAAGTTTTAGAGACAATTTATGAAAGTCATGACAGAAAAAGTTATTAATTATTTTTAACGACAATTTTAAAAGGATTAATTTTTAGTAAGACTTAATAAGAATTAAGTCTAACTATTAAAATCTATTGGTAGTTTACCCTTATTCACTTTCACTACAAGAAAACGGGGCTTAAGAGACGGAACTTTTTGCGACGGCACATTTGCCGTCGCAAAAAATGACTTTTTGCGACGGCACAACTTGTCATCGCAAAAAATGTGACTTTTTGAGATGGCACAACTTGCCGTTGCAAAAAATAGAGTATTTGCGACGGTAGAGATTGTTGTCGCAAAAAAATAGAGTTGTTGCGGCGGTACAAGTTGCAGTCGCGAAAAAAAAAAATTGCGACTTTAATAGATACCGTTTCAAAAAAAAAATTAAAAAAATAAATATATATATATATATATATTGTGGCTTTGAGACGGCTTCATATATATATAGTCACAAAATGGTTTAAGTAAATGCAACGGTATTTTTCTATCACAAATTTTTTTTTAAAAAAAAACGACGTCGTCTTACTCTTCTGAACATTTCTTTTTTCACCTATTTTTTCATCTTCCTATCTCTCTATCTCTGTCTCTCTTCTCTTTCTCTCTCTTACTCATCACTCTTTTCTGTCTGTCTATCTCTCCTTTTCTCTATGTGTCTCTGTCTCTCTGCTCTCTCTCTCCCTCTCTCTCATTCATCACTCTTCTCTGTCTGTCTGTCTCTCTCTTTCTCTCTGTGTCTCTGTCTCTCTTCTCTTTCTCTCTCTCACTCACCACTCTTCTTTGTCTGTCTGTCTGTCTGTCTCTCTTTTTTTTTCTGTGTCTCTCATCCATCTTTCTTCTCTCTATCTCTTTCATCTATCTTTTCTCTCTGTCTCTCATCTCTGTCTCTTTTCTTTTTTTTTCTCTCGTTCTCTCGCTCATCTCTTTCTGTCTCTCTCTTGTTTATCTCTTTTCGCTCTTTTTTTTCTCTCTGTCTCTCTCTTTTTGTCTATATCTTTTCACCAATTTTTTCATATTCTTCTCTCTATTTTCTTTCTCTCTCTCATTCATCACTCTTCTCTCTCTGTCTGTCTATTTGTCTCTCTCTCTGTGTCTCTCATTCATCTATCTCTCTCACCCATCTATTTTCTCTCTATCTCTCTCACACATCTCTCTTCTCTCTATCTCTCTCACCTCTCTCTCACTCATCTCTCTTCTCTCTGTCCCTCTCGTTTATCTCTTTTCTCTCTATGTGTCTCTCACTCATCTCTCTTCTCTCTGTTTCTCTCGTTCATCTCTCGCCTCTTTCTGTCTCTTTTTCTGTCTTTCACTCTCTATCTCTCTCTCTCTTTCTCTCTCTCTCTCTCTCTCCACTTTGTTAGCGTTGCTCACTCTCTCTCTTCTGTCTTCTCTATTTACTGAGCTCCCTCTCGATTTATCGATCTACTACAAGAAAATGCACTTTTAGCGACCACTTTGTCTCTCTCTCGCTCACCACTCTGCCTCTGTTTCTCTCTTTTTCTCTCTCTCTCTCTCTCTCTCTCCTCTATCTGTCTTTCACTCATCTCTCTCTCTCACCACTCATCTCCTCTACCACCTTCACCACTACTGCAAACGTCATTTCACTACCACCACTATTACCACGGTCGCCATTTCACCTCTACGACTACCATTACTACCACTATTGCCACTACTACCACTATTGCCACTACTACTACTACCATTACCTCTTTTTTACCCATGCCACTCCATCTACTCTACCACTACCACAACTTCACCACTAATCTCCTTCGCTATCACCACCACCACCACCACAAGAAAATGCACTTTTAGCGACCACTTTGTCTCTCTCTCGCTCATCACTTTGTCTCTCTCTTTCTCTCTCTCTCTCTCTCTCTTCTCTATCTGTCTCTCACTCATCTCTCTCTCACCATCCATATTCTCTACCACATTCACCACTACTGCAACTGTCATTCCACTACTACCACGGTTGTCACTCTACCTCTACAACTATCATTACTACCACCATCGCTACCACTCCACTACCACCACTACTACTACCATTACTTCTCCTCTACCGCCGCTACTCTATCTCCTCTACCACTACCACAACTTCACCACTTATCTCCTTCACCATCACTACCACCACCACTATCACCTCTTATCCATCACCTTCACCACTACTGCCACTTCCTATCCTCTACCACAAAAAATTAGTTCTTGATTTTTAGTAACCAAAAAAAAAAAATGAAAAAATGGAAACAAAGAACAAAAAAGAAAAGAAAAGAAGAAGAAAATAACAATATTAAACCATGAAACCCGAGTCTGGGATGCAACAATAGTCGGGTCAAAATCGAGATCGCTATATTGACCATTTTACACCTTTTAGAAAACCGTCTTTCTGGATCCATCTCTCAATAAGTTGGAATGCTAAGGTCTCTCATTGAACTTGATTTGTATGTAAACAGTCTCACAGGTTCAATCCCTGCTTCTATACGGAACTTGACCAACTTGACCATTCTATACCTTTATAAAAACTAACTTTTTGGATACATCCCCCAAGATGATGGAATGCTAAGGTCCCCAGTTTAACTTAGTTTTTCAGAAAACAATCTCACAAGTTCAATCCCTACTTCTATAGGGAACTTGACTAACTTGATCACTTTATACCTTCATAAAAACCAACTTTCAAGATCTATCCAGTAAGATGTCGCCTATAAATGGTTGTCAACCTCTCCCTCCTCTTCCGTCTCTCTCTCTCTCTCTCTCTCTCTCTCTCTCTCTCTCTCTCTCAATTTGTTTCAAATGTTGATTCGGATGATTCACGGTCGAGAAGGAAGAGGAAGAGCAGGAGTTCTAGGCGTAGAAGTAGGAAATCGGAATCAGTCGGTGATAGTGAATCGGATGAGTTGAGTGACCAATGCCATTGCCTAGGGCTGAAGGACATATTAGCTATGAAGGGGCACTCAGGCCTGGTGAAGGTGATGCCATTGCTCAGTACGTTTAACAAGGAAAGCGTATCCCACGGAGAGGTGAAGTCGGTCTTTCAGCTGAGGAGATTAAAAAATTTGAGAGCCTTGGGTATGTGATGAGTGGTAGTAGGCATCAAAGGATGAATGCTATTCGTATCAGGAAAGAAAAGCAGGTTTATAGTGCAGAAGATAAGAGGGCTTTGGCAATGTTTAACTATGAGAAGAAGGCAAAGCGGGAACAGAAGGTTATGGCTGATCTGCAGCGGCTGGGGCAACGCCACATCAGACAGGATGCTGGCCTTTCTCATGATCATTTTGCTGGAAGGGAGGGTGATGATGCTTGATCTTGATGTATGTTCACTGTTATAAGAATTTGCACCTCAAACATGTTTTTATACTTCATAATGATAATTTTGAATTTGTCCCTACCAGCATATATATATATATATATATTTGGAGAAATTTCAGTACAAGTTAAATTTCAAAAAATAATTACAAATAAGAGATAAATTTTATAAATATTAACAATTATAATTATAATTTTTTTCATGAATCTGTAATAATTTTTTGAAATTACCACTAAATAGTAATTTTTCTTATATATAATAATATGATTTTAAATAGCGATACCAAGATATGTAACAGTATCAATGATGCAATTATATTTCAGTCAATATTGAATAATAACGCCACTGAAAGTCCAAAGCCATGAATTCATAATTTATACATGTGATCTAGGAATTTAGCATTTATTTTATACATGGAAATGTATTGACATGTGAACTTATTCACATATTGGTGTTATTTTTTAAACTGAATCAGCACTTCAACAAAAAGCAGGGGAAGTCTCTCACTCAAGTTCTTGACAAGATTAAGTCAGGTGACCACAATAGTGCTATAATATTTACTAATGGGCACTTTCATTTTGTTTATTTGATACACATAAATAGCAAATTTGTATGTATCCGAGTTTAGAAAAGCTTTTCGATTGCAAAGAAAAAAATAAAAATACTAATTCTTTATCTATCTCCGTAATGTATGCAGAGTTGATGTTGTTGGGTTTCATTTCTTTATTCTTGACTACTAGCCGAAAACCGATTGCAAAGATCTGTATTCCAACTAGTATTGGCGAATCTTTTCTTCCATACAAAACCATGACTAGCGATGGAGTGGAGGAATCCAAATGTGAAGAGCAGGTAATAATAAGCAAGCTTTTAAATTATTGTATTTATGAGTGATATTTATCAAAAATTGAGTGACTTTAATTGTAAAGTTTTTAAAAATTAGGTAACAGTATCAACTGATGTGTTGGGTTGTAAGCCGATCACTTTCAAAACTTAAAAAACTATTAAAATGGATTTTATTTCTAAAAAGATCTTACTTTACCAATATGTTTGAATTTTGATTGGCCACTATAGTACTTTCTCACCTTATATAAGTTTATCCTTTATTTTTATTTTTATTTTTTTTCAGGGAAAGCTTTCATTGATGTCTAGAACAGGAATGCAACAACTCCAGATGTTGATCTTTGTGTTGGCCTTCTTCCATGTTTTCTCTTCATTCCTTACACCAATGAAGTAAACATATATGCTTACATGAACAATCTATGATGGTGGATCAAATTCTGGAAGTAAAAATATGTGTTTACGTGAATGATCAAAGATGGAGGCTCAAATTCTGTTAGGAAGTAAAATTACTAGCTTACAAGAAACAAGCTTACAAAACATTCCTAGTAATTTCTTGATGTTGCTGTACTGGATGTCATCTTTTATCTCCTTTTCTCTTAAACCACTCATGCAAATGGTGTTAGCTGTTAGAAAGAGCATTCGTACCTCTTATATTTTGCAGTTGCAGATCCGTTACCTTCATTTGTGTTAGGTTTTATTTCTTGGCAATCCCGTTTGACAAAACTCCTTTGAGTTGTAATTTTATTCGCATTTTTATTTTAGTGAGACTATAAGTTGTTAGATGCGAATCCAACCCGAATCAAGCCTTTCAGAGAAGTTTGTGATGCTAATACTTTCAAGATTGCCACTTCGCTAATTATGACGGGGATCGAGCTGCCCGGTCAGCTCGCGGGGGTCCAGGGGACAACACTCCTTGGCGGGTCCGGGGCAGCGCCACGGCGGAGTCGAGGGGCAGCGCCTCCGAAGCAAAATGCAAAAATGCATTCCAAGTTGCCTGTCCGCTCAAGCGGACATTCCCCCGCTCGAGCCAAGAATCCCTGGTTGCAGAAGTTTTGGTCGCCTGTAAAAATGCTGGAAGGTGTGATTTCGCGCTCGAGCGGGTTCTCTAGTGCTCGAGCGGACCTCTGTTATATTTCGCGCATATTTTGCTGAAGCCGCTCGAGCGGGCTGTTTGGCGCTCGAGCGGAGATCGCGGGACAGATTCTATAAATTCGCGTGTTGGGTCATTGTTTAGGATTGCTACTCCAGATCTTCTTTTTGGGTTCTAGGGTTTATATCTGCGGATACTTTGTGAGTTTTCTTTGATGTTTTATTGAGTATTCAACTCATGGTTTACAGAGAGTACATCAAAGGTTTTGTTTGCTATATAAAAGAGAGAGTTGTTCTTCGGTGGATTTTGAAGAATTCGAGCCTGAAGCTTTGGTGGATTCTGGATTGGCTCATTGTAAAGACAATTTCGAGGTGAAGACGGGGTTGGAAGAGGCACATAGAGGTTGGTTCAATTAGGCGTGGATTCGCTAGGTAATTGAGAGTATACCTGTGTAATTCCTTTAAATCTTCCTAGTGGATTGTTTTGTGGCTGTTGCCCGTGGTTTTTTAATCACAGTTGGAGGTGTCCAATTGTGATTTTTCCACGTTAAAATTGTTGTGTTGATTTGTCTTGATTGTTTGATTGGGATTGTTATATTCTGCTTAAAATTGATACATAATCACAAATCAACATCTAGGGGATTTCTAGATTTTTCAATTTGTTTCATTTTGTTTATGACACAGATCAATTGGGTCGAAATGTGAAGAGCCTCAAGGACCGTCTCCACTGCGCAAAGAGTTGAGATGTAAATCAAGAAAACCCAAGTCCAACACAAAGCGAAAGTTGCTGGTAACTGAAGAAGACAGTAATGTCTTTAGGCATTCTAATGGGGTTGAGTGTTTATTATGGACAAATCGTAAAGCTTTTAGAAGAGTTGCTAGAAATCGGTCGCAGCTTGAGAACCTGTCTCCATTTTTTTATATTAAAAAATAATTACCAAATAGATATCAATCATTTTATCAATTCAATTGATTCTCAACACATTTTCATGTTTTCTCCCTTTAAGTTGGCTACTCTTTCACTCTCTCCTTTTAAGTTCTTTACAATTTTGCAGCTAGACATATAGAGATTGCATTTTTGTATTGATGGGCATGCCTTGGCAAACATCATAATTTCAGGAAAGGGGCAAATAAATGTTGTTATATCGGTTGGGGTTAATCTAATTTTAGAACAAGCAATTTTCAGAGAAAAAAGGGTTAATTTTTGTGAGTCTTTCTCCCCATATTTGTGTTGATTTAAGTTATTTTAGCTATATGCTTTATCATAGTGGTGGGTGAGATTTGATGCCTATTTTTTAAATCTGTTGAATATATCAATTTTATAGGTAAAGATGTTATATCCATCACCCCAGATGTTGATCTTAACTGTAATTTTAAGAATATTCAACTCCAGGTGTTGATCTTAAATTTTATCGAAGGTTTTTTTTTTTTTTTTTTTTTTTTTTTTTTTTTTTTTTTTTTTTTTGTGACGGCACTATACCGTCGCAAAAAATAAAAAATTTTATTATTTTTATTGATTTTGTTACAGGTTTTACTTTTTACGACGGCACTAAACTGTCGCAAAAAATAAAAATTTTATTATTTAAAATAGAAATTTTATTATTTTTTTAATACTTTTTGTGACGGCAGTACACTGTCGCAAAAAAATAAAAATTTTCATATTTTTAATGCTTTTTGCGACGGCACCACACCGTCGCAAAAATAGTATTTTTGCCGTTGCAAAAAAAAAAAAAAAACTATTAGCGACGGCATTTTTTGCCGTCTCAAATAACATTTTTAGCGACGGTAAAATAGTGCCGTCGCAAAAAGTCAAGAAATTTCAAACATTATTAGCGACTGTAAAGTGCCGTCGCAAAAGGCAAAAATGCCGTCGCAAAACATAGTGCCGTCGCAAAAACTCTTTTGCAACCCCCCAGTTGCGACCCCCCTTACCGTCACAAAAAGCTTTTTACGACGGCATTAGAAGTATTAGCGATGGTATTTTATCGTCGCAAAAAGTTAAAATTTTAGTAGTGTTTTAATCCATGAACATTCTAATTTTTTTTTTTTTATCATTTAAATTAGCTTATATAATTTTAATGTTCTGTCAGTTTTGTTTTTGTCCACTTGCACATATTAACCTAACATGATGGCAATTTATTTATTAATTCTTATTTTTCATCAACGAAAAAGAGCAGATTTTATTAATGTAATTCACACAGAGGGAGCTACATCAATAAAAGCCAGGGTAATCATTGTCATCAAAACTTGGTTTGCTTTATTGGAGCAACTTTCGTTTCCTTTTCCTTTCAAATCATTACCATCTATTATTTTTTAAAAATTAAACGGTTAATACCATTTTGACAATTTTTTAAAAAGGTAAATTACATAAATAGTCTTTATAGTTTAAAATTTGTGTTATTTTGATTTCTGACTTTTTAATTGTGACATATTTAATTCTGAATTTTGAATCTTGTTCCAAATAAGAATAATTGAATATATAATTAGATTTTTTAAGAATAAAATTATCAATTTGATAAAATATAAACTAATTTGACAAAAATAAATGTCAAACAAATATTTTTGAATTTTTAAAAATTAATTCTACCTACTAAAAATAAAATTATATAAAATTAATAAATCTTTTAGACATTTATTTACTTTTTTTACCAAATCAATTTTTGTTATGTGTTTGAATGATAATCATGTAAAATTAATTTTAAAAAATTAATCATGTAATTTTTATTAATTTTACATAATTTTATCATTGGTGGATAAAAATAATTTTAAAAAAATTAAAAATATTTTTTTGAAATTTATTTTTGTCAAATTAGTTTATATTTTATGAAATTGACGATTTTACCCTTGAAAAATCTAATAATATTTTCAATTGTCCTTATTTGGAACAAGATTCAAAATTCAGGAACCAAAGTGACACAAGTCCCAAACTATAGGGACTATTAGTGTAATTAACCCTTTTTAAAAACAATTAAGACTTAATTATGAGACTACGAATATCTAATTAACTTAAGTTTTTTTTATAGATAATATACTCGATAAATTGTATAATATGAACGGTTCAAATCATAAAAATAAACTTAGGAAACTCTCCCAAAACAACTCACAACAGGGCTAATGTGCCTCAGGATACAGTCTTTTAGTCCATTTTTAATGGCATTCTCTACTATATTAAATGCTATTTTTTTAATTTTTCCTATTATTCTACACATCTTTTTATATAAAATTAAAAAATTAATTAAAATAACTAGTTCTTAAAACAACTCCTCATAAAATATAGGATTCATGATTTTGTGTTAGGTAATTGAAAAGCAAGAAATGTATTATTTATGATGATTAGTCATAGAATATGATCAAGTAAAGCTCCTGAAACTTCATAGAAAAGGAAAAGACGCAGCATATGAATTTAGGTCCAGATCAAGCATATTCATCAAGAAGCCCCATTTAGAATAGTATTGGGATCTAAGCTTCAGATGGGAGATAGAGGGTGGAAACCAATTCTGTGTAAGCATGGTGGTAAGGGAGGTAGAAACTTAGCTCTGGGTAACGAGATTCATACGATCTTTGTGGATAATCTACCAGAATCTACGGATCCAAAAGGGTTGTATAACATATTCACCAACTATGGGATAGTGAAGGATGTGTTCATCCCCAACAAAAGGAGAAAGTTGACTAGATCAAGATTTGGGTTTGTCGGCTACACTTGTCCAGTGGCAGCGAATATGGCGGTCTAAAAAGCTCATGGCATCTGGTGTGATAACAGAGCTCTGAAAGTGAAGATAGCAGATTTTGTTCAAGGAAAGGAGGATAACCAAAAATCAGTAACCACATCAGTTGGAAGAGGGCTATTGCCATAACCAACAAAGCTCCAAATATGTTACAAGGGGGAAAGTCTTATGCTCAAATATTGAGTGGTCAAGGGCTGGCTTCAAATTCAAACATCAGTATACAAGCTTACGAAGAGGGTAATGGATGGCTGTATGACAGTGTGATTGTTCGATTGAAATCTCAAATTCTTGCGGTGGAGTTCAAAGTGGAATTAAAGAACAGAGGAATGGGTAATGTTCACGTTAGAGATGGAGGTGGAAGAGATATTGTGCTAACGTTTGAATCAGCAGATACCATGAAAGAGAAGCTCAAATTAATGGAGCAGTGGATTCAGTCATGGAGCGAATCAGTCAAGGTATGGCAGCAGGGGATGATTCTTGATCAAGAAAGATTTGTATGGCTTACTTGTTATGGAGTTCCTCTGAATCTCTGGAGTAGTAAAACGTTTAGTGGCATTGGAAAGGCATGGGGAGAAGTCATAGGCATTGATGAGGACACATCTAGAATGACGTTTTTTCACAGTGGAAAGGTGAGAATTGCTACTAAGTGTATGGAGTCCATAAACACAACAATTATTCTGCGATGCAAGGGGATCGACTTCCCAGTCAAGGTTTCTGAAGAACAGGCGGTGATTTCAAAGGTGATATATAAGCAATGCAAATGTTATAGTGAACAGCCCCAAATGGAAAATTCAAATTCAAATGGTGAGGAACAGGATCAAGAGTAGAGATCTATTGTGGGGAGCAAGAAGGGTGAAGATGAAGCTGATGTGAAGGGCCACGTTGGAGATGTATTGGACACCACAGGTGCTATGGAGGCAAGGGGGCCAAGGGTAGGATGTGATGACCATACAGTCACTAATGGACAACTGAGGGAGCTAAGTATGTCTAGGCTTGAAGAGACTATCATGTCTATAGGTTAGTTGGACTACTTGCAGAAGCAACCTGGAGTTGGAGGTGAAGCATGTGGGTTTCAATCAGTCAAATCAGGGCCAACTCTTATTCAGATTCAAAATGAAGGTAACCAGATTATAAAAGATGATGTTATTACTCCAGGTTTTATGAAGAGTCTTAGTAGGCCAGAAAAAAGATGTACCTGGGCTTAATATAGAGGTGTTATTAAGTAAGGCGCATGTCTTACAGTGTGCTAACATTCTAGGCCATAGATCATTTTGAGTTAAGTGACCCAAAAGATCAGCCAACAAAGGAGAATGAAGTCCAAACTAGTAAGGGAAAGGTAACCCATGACAGTGGGGATAAGGAGCCCCATGGAGTAGCAACCTGTTACACTGCACTGGTAGATCAAAAAAGGAAAAATACCACAAAAGAGAAAGTTAAACGGATGGTGAAATACTAGAGGAAGAAAAAAGGAAACATACAAATAGGGGTGGATCAGTTATGAACTTCAAGAAAAGGGGTTGTATTTAGGTCGGCAGCTGCAGCTATTTCTTTGTCCATGGCAAGCAAATCGGGTTCTGGTCAGTTGCTCCTTAATGAGGCAGAAGCGTCTCTGAAGATAGGGAAGTTGCTTCGGCTGAAATGCAAAGGTAAGGATGAGGAAGTGCTTAGTAAATTGATGGAACTGGAAGTTAAGGATAAGGAGGTGCTGGGTAAAAGGGGTAGTAAGTTAGACTAACTATATCTGCTGTGGTGTCTTTGGTGTGTAAATTTGTTTTAATGAAGTTCTTATCTTGGAACGTTAGAGGGTTAGGCAAGTCCATTAAAAGGAGAAAAATTAAAAAACTTCTTTTTGAAAGGAAGGTGGATGTGGCACTATTTTAAGAAACAAAGAGACCTGCTATAACTGAGGAATTTGTCAGATCTTGTTGGCCTGGGGATCAGATGGCTTATATGGTTGTGAACTCAGAGGGTGCAGCTGGTGGACTACTGTGTGTTTGGAATCCGCAAGTGTTTCAACTTCTGGACTGCTGTTGTAACAGGCATTTTATCATTTTGTCTGGCACTCTTTTTACAAGTCTAGCTTGTGTTATTGTTAATGTTTATGGCTCGACAGATGGTGCTAATAGGAAGGGATTATGGGAAACGTTGAAGAATTTAAAGAGAAGTTTTATCAACCCTTGGTGCTTGGGGGGTGATTTTAATGAAGTTAGGAAATTAACTGAGAGGGTGGGTTGTTCCCAAAGGCGTGGTAGTATGAAGGATTTTAACGAGCTAATTGATAACCTGGAAGTGTGTGACTTACCAATGTTGGGGAGAAAGTTCACTTGGTGTAACTCTTAGAATGGTGCCAAATGAAGTAGGCTGGACAGATTTTTACTCAGCCCAAATTGGTTGCAAAAATTTAACTTCAAACTGTGGGGATTACCAAGAAGGCTCTCAGATCATTGTCCTATTTTAATGATGCAAGATGAAAAAGATTGGGGTCTAAAGCCATTTAGGTTTCTAAATGCCTGGTGTCTTCATCCGAATTTTAAGATTTTTGTGCAGAAAATTTGGGCAGAATCTCATGTAAACGGTTGGGCTGGATTCAAATGTTTAAGGAAACTGAGATTACCTAAAGAAGCATT